ATAAGCAAATTTTAGAATTTAATAGTAATATTTGTATATTGTATTATTTTCAGAATTTTGATATCACAAAAATATTTCAAAGCAAATTTTACAATTTTTAAAGTAAAAAAATTTTTCGGTAATATTTTCCGATTTTCGAAATAGTAAAAACATTTTGAGGCAAATTTTACATTTTTGAAAGTAAAAATTTATAAAAGTAATATTTTCCGATTTTCAAAATTGCAAATATATTTCGAAGCAAGTTTTACATTTTTGAAAGTAAAAAATCCTTTCGATGCAAAATTAATTACTTTAATATTATTTCGAACTTACCGAAACAAAAATAGAGTTTTGAAAACTTTTTTTTTAATCAAAAATTCAACTTTAGCTTTTGTGAACAACCCTACTATTAACCTTTTTTTTTTTAATTTATAATATAAAAATGAAAATAAATATAAAAGACAATATATGCAAATAAACGTTTAAACTTTTTAAGCTATATTTAAAAGATACATTTTAAGCTATATTTAAAAGTCATTTACACAATTAAAATAAGATGAAAGTATCAAACTCATTCATTCAAAGCCATTCTATCTTTTTTTTTCTAAAGCTGCTACCTCTCTACTGCTGATAGCCAAACCACTTTAATCTTTTTGGACAAATGTTGTTTAATACAACATTTTTCTAATATTTTTTCTAATAACTATCTCTTTTTAAGATTAATGCTCTTTTTCTTGTCTTGTTTATCTTGTCTTGTTAGTCTTGTTTATCATACAATACAGGAGCAAAGATATATAATTAGAACCTTGTGGTGCTCTTATAGTTACTAGAAACAAAGAAGAGTGAAGGACTTTGAGACTTAAATACTGCGGTAAGAAAGAAATGATTTCACATGAAGAAACTAATAATAGAGAGAAGACTAATTGTAAGATAGTTAGTAGAGATGTTAAAGAGAGTGTTTTCTAGAGTTTTTAGTGTAGTTAGTAGTTAGTAGAGTGTTGAACAGAGTTCTGGAGAACACTTTTGTAAGACTATGATGGAAATGTTGAAATCTGAACCACAAGCCGTAAAAGAGAATTGACTTTAGCATCGGAAGTCAGAGTGATTTGGATGTCTAACAATAGGTTAATCTGTTTAACTGGAATGGATGGAAGCCCATTTAAATTAAGAGTATTAGAGGAAAATTTCTTTGCAAGAACACTGCCTTTTTTCTGAGTATAAGTATTAGAGTAGACCCATGAATAATGATGGAATGTTAGACTTAATTTAATTATGACTCTGTTGAAGATTTTCCAAAAGTCTCAGAACCTAAATTCTGAGATAAGACACAAAATTTAGTAAACTGAGAATAACAGAGCTTAGCATCAGACAGGACCTTTTTACATTGACTTTTTGCAATAATAACATTTGATATTTGTTCACAAGAGAGATATTCTTGTAAAAAAGATGAAAAAAAATGATTACAATTTAATATAGCAACTGCACAAAAAAGTGAAAACCGTGGAGTAGAATGAGACAACTTTAAACCAACTAAAAATAAGTATTTTGGATACAGGAGGTAAGAGGAGTATTTATGCATTCACAATATAGATATATGTAAATATATATATATGTTTGCTATTTAGATGCTGGCATACAATATCTTTACATATATGTATAAGCTTTAGTATTTTTGTATTTGGGAGTTTTTGAGATTATTAAATCACTTCTTTCTAAAATTACTTTATTAAAGTTATCCTCCATTTCCAGTAACTTCTGGAATACCTCAAGGTTTTATCCTTGGTACTTTTTTGTTTCTTACCTACATTAATTATCTTCCTGACAACCTTACATCTGAATCTGCTTATGATTCAATTTATACTCCTGTCTTGACAATTCTTCTCTTTTCGATTGCTTAGAAGGGGCAACCGATCTTGAATCTGATCACTTCTAAAGCAGATTGGGGCTTGTGGTGGCTTATGAATTTTGACTCACTCTAAACTTGGTTGTTTACTCAGAACAACTATAGCAATACTCCTGACGTTCCTTTTCTTACTCTTTATTGCATTTCCTCTACAATTTTCTTTATTGCTTTTGTATGGAATACTGTTTTTATAGTTGGGTTGATTCTTCTAATGATGTTTTCTCTTTTAAACAAAGTTCAAAATTGCCTTGTAAACATAGTTGGACCTGCATTTAACATACGTAATGGCGATTTGCGTATGCTTTCAGCAAATTCTAACACAGAACTAACACAGACTTACACAGAATAAAGAAACAAATAAAAAAAATTAGTATTTATAAAAACAAATATTTTAATATTTACTTATGCTGCGATTACAGATTTTTATCTTATTGCGCATAATTAATATAATTAACATTGGAGAAAGACTTTCCTCTTATGTTGCAGGCTCCACTAAACTTACTTAATTGTTGCAAGACACTCTTATTTTGGTATACGACACACATATGCCAATACAAAATTTAATACTATTTCTTATATTTTACATGTTTAATATTAATGTATTAATATTAATGTGCCATTTATTCAGAAAATATTCTTGTAAAAAAAAAGCATTCAACCGCATTTGTTAACTTTTCATTAAAGAAACTGATTGTTTAATACTTTTTTTTTAAATTAAAAGACTTTAAATTAAATATAATTTTAAAATTAAAAATCTTAATTTTTTTTCGAGAGGATGTAAAATAGTTAGTAAAATGTAAAATTTAGTTTCAAAGAAGTGTTAAAGGAATCCCTAAGTGCTCCTAACATATGATCTCATATGAAAGAGAATAAAAAAAATATGTAAGTTTTTTTTCTTTTTCACTAAATTGTAATAATAAATGCATGCTAACAAAAAGCAATTGCCGAAATCACTGAAAAGCAACTCCATTTTGATTTTATTTTTTTACCATTGAAACTCGATTGTTAGTCGTTAAAAATTACGTTAGTACGTCACAACAACTTTAGAATATCTACTTCGTGATATCTAGTCGTGATTAAATAGTTTTAATCAAGTTTTTTTAATTAGTTTTGCAAAAACAGTATAATAGAATTCAGTTGAAAGACATCTAAAGGGAAGAAAAAAAGTCTTACAGGGCTCGTATTAAGCGTATCGCGATTACTTTTCACACTTTCGTGATTAGTTTTTTCTTTAAAAAAATCTTTTTGTGATTTTTTTTTTTTTTTTTGGTTGTTTAATTACTTTTTTTCTAGCTTAGCATTTTTTTCAGCAATTCTTATAAGTAATATTTTTATCATAAAGAACGTCACACAAAATTTATTATTCTGAATAGATAGATGAATCGACGATTTGCTCTTTCCCGCGGAGATTTTCTTTCAACGTAAAACATTTTTGAATTTAAATTACTTTAAATCTCTGCTTGCAAAATTTTTACAAGTTCATTAAAGAAAAAAGTTGAAAAGTTGGTTTTTATCTTTGTTTATCAAAATGTTTAAAATAAGGCTTAAAAACGTTAGAGCAAAAAAATTGCTGGCTTTTATTTGCATTTTTATACTGTTTGAATAAAAAAAAATAACTGAAATAAATTTATTTTTGTACCAAGGAAATAGTTTAAATAAACTTTTGTGTCTAGATCAATATTCATTTGTTAAAAACTGACTAAAAATAGTTTAAAATTTGACTTCTATTCATTTTTGGCAGTGGAATTGCCCTTATAACACAAATATATAAATAAAAATTATTAAAAAAATTTTAATATACAAATATATTTTCACAAAATGCTACAAAACTTATTCTTGTAAGTAATTGAAAAAATTTGACGTACAAACGCTAGTTTTTTGAGGCAATAGAGTCAATAAACTTTGGACAAGACACATTTTTTTTAATCGAAGAAAAGCGTTTTTTTGAAAATTAAATTTGTTAGTGTGTGTTCATTATTACGTTTTAGAAAAAATAATATACACAAAACATTTTTTTTTTTTCATGCTCTTTCATATGAGATCATATCTTTATAGCACTTACGCATCCCTTTAAATACTTTCACAATGTTTACTAAAAAAGAATTTTTTTTTTATGATCTGCTAACTAATTCATCACATGAAACATGTCTCTCCATCATACACAAATCTCTCCATAATAGATTAAAATGCATGAAAGCAACTAAAAAAAAATTATTTGTTTTTATTTTAAGAAGGAAGTGTTTTTATTTAAGAGAATTTTTATCACAAATGAATTTGAAATTTTATGTCTCTTATTAATTCAATATTGTGCAAAATTTTATTTATAAACATAAATTATGTTTAAAAATATCTTACTGGTAACTGATTAAATCTATCTCTAAATTGTTTATAATCTTTACTAAAAATTGTTCATTAAATACATAACAAAAAAAAATGTTGATAAGCAAACAAAAGATTATGTTATGTAAAGATTGTTTTAAGAATAAGAAAATATAATCTTTTTCAAATATCAAATTTAGATTTCATCAGTAATTTTATTATATTTGTTTAATTGATTTTTAAAGCGATTTAAAATTAAACTTAATTACAATGCAGTACTTTAAAATATGCTAATGACGCAATTTAACATTATTAATGTAAATATTAAAGCTGAGATAAATTTATATTTATTAGAGATAAGTTTTTTAGTTACGCATCGATATGTTATTCCAAGGCCTGAATCCTATATGTTCCTAATCAATGGCAAAACATACAATGCACCAAAAAAACATACAAAACACAAAACATAATGAACAAAGTACCAAAAAACAAACAAAGCACCAAACATAATAAACAATGCACCAAAAAAACATGCAAAACACCAAAAACTGGTATAAAAGAATTATGAAAATAAAATAAAACGTATTTAAAAAGTTTACATTTAATATACATGTTCTCTGAATAAAAAAAATATGAATAAATTAAAACTTTAATTAAAAAATCAACATAATAGTTTTTAATATAATAGTAATATTTTATTAATATTAGTAAATGTTTTGCTTAAAATTAAACAACAAATAAAGTTTCTTTGTGTAATTTTTTTTTTTTTTTTTTTTTGTAAACATCAGAAAATTCATACCATGTGCAAAGAATTTGCAAAATCCTTTGTTTGTAATTTGCAATATCAGCTATTAATACATTAGCTAGACCTTCTAAGTTACTTTCCAAAGATGATGTACTCTAAAAAAATATACATATATACTACTATTAGTATGTAGTTGTGTTATTTGTAGGAAACTAATATAGAAAGAAAAATTTTCATAAATGCTTCAAAAACAATAACAACAAAAAAATACTACAAGAGTTAATTAGTTCTTCAAACCATTACAACAAATAACATGACAACATTGACAAAACATGATAAAAACATTACAACATCGACAACAAGCATTCATCAACATTTGCAAAGTGTTAGTTAATAAATAAAGTTTCATGTTACTATAATAATTGATTGATATAAGAAAATGTAAACAAAAAATAATAAAGTTTTTATGCTTTACTTTATTTATAGTTGATTTTTTTTCAGTATACAATACACAACAAGATGAAGTTCTAACAAGTTTCATCAGATTCAGTAAAAGTTAAAACAGGTGTTCTAACAGGACTGTGTTCAGTTCCATCAGAATTAAAAGTACTATTTTCATTACCACAAGTAAGATGACTTGCAAATGGATACCATCAATTTTGTAACTTGTAAATGGATACAACAATTGTTATAACTTGCGAACAAGTACCACAAGTAATGTAACTTGTAACTTGCAAATAGATACCAAAGGAGTTGTAACTTGAAAATAGGTTCTACAAGTGATGTGACTTGTAAATTGATCCCATAAGTGTTGTAACTTTCAAACGAGTACCACAAGTGATGTGACTTGCAAACAAGTACCACTGTGTTATATAAATTAGTTTTACAAAAAAATGTAATAACATAACTTTTTTTTAACTACAAAGTGTAAATATTAATCCCCTTTAAAACTAAAAAATATTTCTTTTTTTTTAACTTACAGAATTTTTTTTTTTATATACATTTTGGCTTACCTTTCTGTTGGTTCAACTTTGAAACTTACAGTTCTATTTATTTACTAAAAGCCAAGACAAAATTGTTTAAACAAATGCATTTTTATCTAAATTTCAAAAAATGTCATTAACATTATTTTTTAGAAATATTTTATTTATAGCATTTTAAGATATTTTCATATGGCCATGGCCTGCTTATATTACATGTCCATGTATATTGCATTTTAAAGGTCAATTCTATGAGACCAATTTATGCAACAACAAAATCTAAATATAAACATACATATACATCTATGTATAGATCAGATTGCTGTCATCAGACTGTTGTTATCAGAAGCAGAAATTATGTCAAAAGGTATATATAAATATATAAGTTTATATACATGACTGATAAATAGATGATACAAAATGACTGATAGATGTCTTTTTAACTGGACATGGTCTAGACAACATCCGATGCCCGGCGCCTGTTTTGAGCCCTACAAATATATATATATATATATATATATATATATATATATATATATATATATATATATATATATATATATATATATATATATATACATATATATATATATATATATATATATATATATATATATATATATATATATATATATATATATATATATATATATATATATATATATATATATGTATATGTATATATATATATATATATATATTTAGGTTCTCGTGACTTCTGGAGAATCTTTCACAGTATCAATAATAAGGGCAAGTCTGTAATTCCACCTCTTTTGTATGGTTCAGACTTTGTCACCTCACCTAAAGACAAAGCTGAATTGTTTGGTAAGAACTTTTCATCAATATAATCTCTTGACTCCACTAGTTGCGTTCTACCTGATATAGCTGTCAAACAGGTTGATCCATTGCTCGACATCCATATCACTCCAGCTTCTGTATATAAAGTGATTTCCTGCTTAGACTCTTCTACAGCTTGCGGCCCGGACAACATACCTGTTATAGCCTTACGGAAGTGTTCTCCGTAGCTGTCGTCTATCCTTTCAAAACTATTTAACAAGTGCTTATCAGAGTCTTGTTTTCCAGCCTGGTGGAAAGCAGCATCTGTTATCCTTATTTTTAAAAACTCTGGAGAGTGATCCTATTCATCTAACTACCGTCACATTAGTCTTCTTCCTATCATAAGCAAGGTTTTTGAATCTTTAATTAACAAACACTTAATCTCTCATCTTGAACCTCATAACCTACTTTCTGATCATCAACATGGATTTCGATCTTCTTGTTCTACGGCGGATTTGCTAACAGTAATCACCTATAGGTTTTATTGTGCATTAGATAAAGGTGGAGAGGTTAAGGCCATTGCTCTTTCTAAAGCGTTTGATAAAGTTTGGCATGCTGGTCTTCTCCATAAGCTTTCTTCTTACGGTGTATCTGGAAACATCTTTAAGATTATTGAATCTTTTCTTTCCAATTGTAGTATGAAAGTTGTCCTTGATGGAAAGCACTTTTTTTCTTATTCTGTAACCTCAGGGGTTCCTTAAGGTTCAATCCTTGGCCCTATACTCTTTTTAACTTAAATTAACGAAATTATCTTTTGCCAACTTACCAATTAAAATACCAATTAAACGAATTAATCTTCCAGATATTATCACATCTAAGGTGGCATTGTTCGCTGATGATACTACCATTTATTCTTGTCACTATAAGAAACCAACTTCCTCTGATTGCTTGCAGGGGGCATTTGAGCTTGAAAAGGATCTCACTTCTGCTACAGCATGGGGCTCACAGTGGCTGGTGAACTTTAATTCAGATAAAACTCTTTTGCAATAATTTAGACCTTCCTATATTTATGAACGGTAATGTACTCGATGAGTCATCTACCCTTCATCTTCAAGGATTAACTCTCATTTCTGACCTTTCTTGAAAACCTTATATCAAATCTGTTGCAAAATTAGCATCTGCTAAAGTTGCATCTCTTTATCAAGCTCAACACTTTCTTACTCTGTATCCTATTCTCTATCTCTATAAATCTCAAATCCGACCTTGTATGGAATACTGTTGCCACATCTGGGGCGGATCTTCTAATGATGCCCTTCTCTTTTAGACAAGGTGCAAAAATGCATTGTAAACATAGTTGGACCTGCTCTTGCAGCCAACCTTCAACCTCTGTCACATCGTCGTAATGTTGCTTCTCTTTCTCTTTTCTATAAATACTATAATGAGTACTGCTCTAAAGACCTAGTGTCTCTTGTGCCATCTACTAAAATTCATTCTCGTGTTACTCGTCATTCAATTAAGCCTCATTCTTTTTCTGTTACTGTTCCTAAGTGCTCCAAAAACTCTTATTCGCCTAGTTTTTTTCTTTGGACATCAGTTCTTTGGAATTCGCTTTCTTCATCTTGCTTTCCTGATTCATATAATTTGCATCTTTTAAGTCATCTGTCAATCATTATCTTGCTCTACAACCTTCATCTTTTCTCTTCCAGTAACTTCCAACACTAATTAGTGGTTGCTTGCAGCCTTGTTGGAAGTGAAGATGTTAAAACAAAAAAAAAACAAATATACATATATATATATATATATATATATATATATATATATATATATATATATATATATATATATATATATATATTATATATATATACATATTATATATATATATATTATATATATATATATATATATATATATATATATATATATATATATATATATATTAAATATACATATATTATATATTTATATATTATATATATTTAATATATATATATACACATATATATACATGGCTCGAAACAGGCGCCGGACATCGGACATTGTCCGGAACTTGTTCAGGAAAACAACAACTATCAGTTACTTTGTCCGACCCATATTTTATGTGCATTTATTTTATAACAATTTATTACTTGTTCCAAATTTATATAATAAATTCATTTTTTGAACTTTTTTATTTTTTATGCAAAACAAAAATTTAAGCTGAACACACAGCTAGGTTAATAAAATACTTCATTTTTTTTGAGTTTTCATTTTTTTAAAAACCCCAAAGCATTACATTTTTTTGAATTAAGTAGTCCAGTTTTTATATTAATGTATAGATGCAGGTAGGGTAAAAATATATGAAATCATCCAGACCATGACACCCTTACGTCTCAGAATTTGTTTATTTTTACACCACTTGCAGTCCATATCAAAAAAATAATAACTGCGAAAATTTTAGTTAAAAATACCAATGGGTTCCATAGATATTGTCACATGAAATAATGCTGACTCAGCATTTTAGTGATTTTCTGAAGCGACTACAAAGCAACTTTGACATATAGTATCTTCATAATGGCTTGGGGAAATTTCCTAAAAATTGGTACTCTAATAGATTTTAACTTGATGAATCCATAAATAGCACTTTTAAGACTCGATTTTCTCAAGAAATGCCTCATTTATCCAACTTTGTTCAAAATTATTGACTTGTAAATTAGTGATTTTTGGAGGTAAAATAAAGACTGTGGCCCAAAATCCTGAGTAAAAATTTTAATTGTATATCATTATTTCATCTTAGGTCTACTGAAAAAAATTAGATTCATCAATTGTCTCTCTAATACGTGATCAAAATTTGCATTTAAAAATGGTGTCTTTTTAGAAAAATTTAATTTTTGTAACAAAAGCAATTAAAATATTTTTTAAAACATTTATTTGAATAAAACATCAAATAGTGTCATTTATTGAATAGTTTAGGACATTTATAGTCATGGGCCAAGGGAGATACCCTCCACTCCCACGGGAGGCCCCTACGCCCCCTCCCCCTATCTCCCTAGATTTTTTTTTTTTTTTTTTTGCATAAAATGAATAAATAATGCAAAAACATACAATTTAATTTTAATTTTGAAAAAAAAAAATTCATTATTTCAAATTGGTGACTTAAAACCTCCTTTTATATAAAAAACAAACATAAGTTTTGTTTTGTTCTTTTTAAAGGTATCTACTTGTTTGTATTTTCTTAAAGAATTACTTTTAATTTTATAGTTTTTATATTATTTTGTGAGGTAATAAATAATAAAAATAATTAATATGGAGAAATGTGACATTGGAAAAAGTCTTAACATTCATTGCCACAAAACTGGATTTTCAAGAAAACAAGGTTTTGTTCAATTTAAAGATCTTCCTTGTGAAAAACAAGAAGA